ATAAAAGTCATAGGACATTCTTCGCCGTCAGCAAAGCTACCGGTGTAATTAACAAACCGTCCCAAGGCCCGTCGAAGGCTTGTACGTGACGTCGAGGGTGGGGTCGTCGCCAGAAATTGTCTCGCCAAGATAAATATAAGAATAAATAATAAGCGACACGGTAATATTCTAGACAAATATCAGAAATTTTAAAAAGGATTTAAAATTGTGGGAACCTTTAAAAAATTAAAATTGTAAAATCTTTTAAAAATGTATTATTTCTAATAATGTAGAAGCTATAAAAGTTATATTTTTACATATCTGCCGTTTTTTCCCCTCTGCTCTTTATTACGTTAAAGTTTTTATGCAAGAAACTTTTCATATTTAATAAAAAAATAGAGTCATTCTTTTTGCTTGATGCTTTAAAGCTCCTTTCGCTGTTTTAGTCGCTGTGTATTTCTTAATAATGACTTCATTCGGCGAAGTTCTATCCTAAAATACGTTTCTTTTTTTTTTTCTATTCTCCTCTGTATTTTATTTCATGCAGATAAACTTTTTTACCCATCACTACTTTATGTATAATTTTATATTTGGAAAAAAAAAATGTTAAATTGCAACGAGGGCACTTCAAAGCGCAAAGCCGTTCCGGGAAAGATGCACTCGTACTCGTTTATATAACTTACGAGTAGACGGAAACAGACCCTCATATCTCGTTTGTAGCACATATGACGCAAACGAGCGTCCGTATATATCGACAGAAGACTATGCCCGGGGTAGTAAATGAACGGTCATTTCCACAGGGAAGGTTAACCTCTCTATTGGACCCGGATTTCACTTGAGTTCGAACTTGAGCTTTTCCTGCTGAGAGGACACTTGTCAGCGTGATGTCGGGGAACATTTCGAACACGACGGCCATAATGGCGATTGTTGATACTTCGTGACGGATGATCCCCGCGCGCAAAATGTCGTTTCTCTAACGTGTTCAATTTGACCTGATCAGATATCCGCTTTGTGATGCTTTTGCATTAATCCGTGAATTATATCAGCATGGCGTTTGAAAATTTTATATAAACGAATTCCGCCGAGATCCTAGCTACGAAAAGATACGGAATATTATTAGAAAAGGAACGTTTTCCGGAATGTTTTTCGAGGACTGTTCCAACAAAGCCGCGCTACAAAATATTTTTATAATATACTGCAAAAATTTTTATCACACAGCAATTTTCTCAGTGTAGCCTAAAGCAATATCTTGTATGAAGCACGCAACACAAACATTGCGCTACATATCGCATGCAAAATATTACATGTGTCTCCAATCTTTTAGAACAGCAAATGTACACGGTGGTTTAGAGAGTTACCGACTACGAGTCTAGCTTTCACATAAATGTGCAAATCAATAACGAGACTAAAATGTCAAAAGTATAGGGATAAAATGAAAAATGATGACGCTGACGTTTTCTGGACGAAAGCTTTCGCAAGAGCTTCCGTCCAGAAACCGTCAGCGTCATCGTTTTTCATTTTATCCCTATACTTTAAACGTTTTACTCAAAGGAGAGTAAAAAAGATAGAGATATTGTTTATTCGTACACATTAAGAAGTTGAAAGAGATAACTTTCGGTAATTCTCAACCTCCACGTCGCTGCACTTTTCATGGAAGGCGTACAAATGTGTGTCTGATGCAAAATCAGCGCAAGGTTCTTCAAGAGAGAGAGAGAGAGAGAGAAGTTTCTCTCCGTCGCGAAGAGGAAGTGTCAGAGAAAATCTCGTTGTTACGAAATCGACGGTATTAACCCTCGCGACGGAGTTTCGCTTTGACCTCAGTGAAAAGCGCCAAGTTTTGCGGGTACAGCAAAGGGCACTTAAAAGCACGCCCGGGGCAGACGCGCGTTTCCATGCGGGAAACCGCGTACGGGAAAATATGACGGGACGCACGTTCCACGATTATCGTTCTAAACGATAGTATTTTATGATTCGTAAAGCTTTTGCGTAAGCTTCCGTCATTCGCGAGGTAGTTACATTCATTACATGTGCGAGAAACGTTAAATGAGGTTCCAAAGTTGGAACTCGTTGAAATTGCGTTTGTGTCGAAAGCTCGCGAATGCAATATCAATGCTTTAAACAACCCCATTGCGGTAAAATGCATTGTGTTTATTCGATTTTTTCATGTAAATTTTTCATGTCTCATTTACATAAAAGATTTACTTTGCAAACTTATGACTTGGCAAACTTACAAAAGGCTCTCGTTTTAAAAAAGATTTTTAAATAGGTTTTTAGTTTCTTTCTCTTTAAAATGAGAAGTTAAAAAACAGGATTCAAATATTTTCTGAACAAGCAAAGAAAGATCAAATATGAATTATTAATTCAAATATTTTATTGGAAGAAACATTTCAAATGCAAATTTTAATTAAATAAATTTACATATAGATATTAAAAATATATCTAAAATTATTTCAACATATGTATGTAACATATGTATGTAACATACATAGTAATATCGCTGGATACCAAATTTAATGTTTCAGATTTAATGATGTAATAATATTTATACTGCAAAAGAAACGATGCACTTTTGCAAATGCACTTTCGATTAAATGGAGGAACCGAATGAATTACAATAAAAGAGTCAAAAATAGCAATCTTGTTACGGCCAACAAATTATTTGAGATTCTTTTTTGCATATTACGTAATTTTCCTAATAAATTATATAATATAATTTTATTATCTGAATAGCAATTGCAGCTGTAATCTTGATAATTACGCGATCTCAATAAGCTCGAGGAAACAATATTGTGAACGAAGAAAATTCTTCACAAATTGTTATGTCAATCTATTTTACAAAAAAATAATTTCTTGACTAATTTCGAAATTTTACAATATTGAGCTGTATAAGACATCTGACATTATATTTCGTTATTATGTAGATCACTTTTTATATAAAAATTCTTTTAAGTGACTTTAGAATTTAAACAAAAAATTAAGTTTCTTTACATATATCATATTCTTATTATTATAAAATCGACTGTTATAAAAATTTTATGCAAGATTACTAATTAATAAATTTGTAATAAGTTAATAATAAGTTTTAATAAGTTTTTTAATAATAAGTTTAAATAAGTTTTTCAAGTAAACTTTTAAACTTAAAAAAATTTATAAAAACCAAATAAAAATACATATTAAAAATTAAATAATTAGATAAGATTAAAACATTAAAATACTAATTATCTGATAAAAAATTATGCGCGTTATTTTGAAGGTATTAAATTCAAAAAAAATCAAATGGAGGACAAAAGTATTATTGTCTCTGAAAACTGCTGATTGTATTTCTCTTAAACTGAACTTTTATATCTCGATAATTCAAGTTGTATCCAAAAGTTCTTGGAATTCCTGCGGCAAAGAGTATTCGGAGAATGAAATTAATAGTTATGCCATGCGTAAAACTATTTAAGAATTCATCTAAATAAATGTAAATAAAAAAGTAGATCCAACTATTTCAGTATTTTCTACTGCATATTCTAAGGAAAATGCCAGTGTGTATGTTTGCTGATGATTTCCAATAGAGTCTCTAACGTATATTTAGCAGATTATCTCTCTGCGAAGATTTATAGAAACCGACAGACGCCAAGTTTCGATATTGCGAATGCGTGCGTGAAATTTCATATTAGATTACTGAGATCAAATCAACAAAATAAACAAAAAGATTGTAATATTATTTTATGTGAACTTTATGTATTTTTATATAATTAGAATTTTATATGTAATGAAAAATATATCTATAATAGGTAAGATCATATATTTTTTATAGAAAAATATTGTGTAAAATAAAAATTATATTATATTATTCTTAAAAATAGCATTTCCGGTTTTATTTTTCTTTTGTAACAATTCTTGTTTCTAAGAATGTACACGATTACTGCTATGGAAAAAAGCAGCCAAGGGTGTTAGTTTGTAATTACGATGATAGAATCAATAGTCTATTATTGTTTTTCGTTTTGCCATCGGCAAATTCGCGATTACTTCTTTTTGTAGTGACAAAAAGAAACGTGGCATCGGAATTTAATTATTGCCGTTAACAGTACTAATAATGTATAGAACACGATAAGAAATTTATTACGTAGTTTCTTTTTTTTCTTTGCATATTGATGAAATATTAAGAGAACAATATTTAGAAAGAAGTTTATATATAAAAGATAAAGCTAAAATATATAGAACAAGAAGTCATCATATATTCAATTATATTTTTGCACTCTGCATTTCCTTAAAATAAATTTTCTGAAAATAATGAGATGAATTTCACAGAATTATCACAGGTTTGAGATTAAATTATGTAACTTAGCAAAAAAACAATTAAATATATTTTCTAATTAATTAGGAGACACAAAAAGACACAAAGACACAAAATTATTATATGCCAACATTATTTTACAAAGTATTAATATTATGATTAGAATATACAGTCAATGTATATAATTAGGAATTATTTACGTGCGCTTCCATAATGATTTCCTAGATTATCGTCTGTCGAGTAAGTTTCCTTTTCACAACTGCACTTCTTCCGATCCTCAGAACAGTTCGTTCTGAAACATATCACGCATTATTAATTAGTCATTGATATCGTCCATTAAAAAGAAAGAGAGGGAGAGAGGTTTTCTTTTTTATAATCGTTTATCAGTATCGTTGTTGCCGTTGATGTTCATAACATCGCGCCAGTATTTTTAATCATTTCGAAGCGGCCGTTTTTCGACTATCAGCTTTTGTCAGCATGGAACGTTAATTATTTCATCATGTGATTAATAAGCTTATGACGGAAGGTACATGCGATAAATTCCATGCGATAGATTATCCTCCCTGGCATGTACAAAAAGAATGCTTTGACATGGCTTCGATTGTCTGTGTGATAATCGGAAGGCTCGGCTATTACTATCGGGTTTAATATATGCAATTGCGTGCTTCGATAATATTTTGATGAAAGAATTTTATATAAAATTGTTTATCCAACTGATAAATATTGTTACAGCACACAGCGGCAATAATATTTTTGATGAACATATACACTTTCCAATAAAAAATAAGAGATGTCGTCGCTGTTTAATTTTCATGCCATCAAAACAAATTAATTGTAAAAATTTAAAAACAAGTAAAGTAAATCAAATCAAAGTTTGCGTAACTGTTGATTTCTCCCCCGATGCCTCCCTCGTTATTCTATGAATAAGGATGTAAGTTATGTGAAAGTTCATTACAAAAAAAAGTAATATCATTGCGGTCATTTAGGTTGATGAACGGTGAAACGAGAGCTAATCAACGAAATCTCGCATTGACGATATCCAGACTGGCCAGACGCGCCCTTGTTTGTCTTTTAATTAGTTGGAGTATTAGTAGATCAGACAACACCTCTTCTTCTTTGTAACACTATGCTCACGAGTCTATTATCCAGATACGATAATCATTAGCGATCGATCGGAAACCGAAGACAACAGCCACGGAATTTCGCAACTTGTTCGGTGAACGAGCCGACAAGGATATCGAGGATCTATTACAGGATAGTAATAATACGTGCTGACGTATCAATTCGGCCTTTGTAATCGTACCAAACTGTCATTCCTAGAAGTAGGTGCTAAATTAAAAAATGGAGTAAATCGCGCGTAAGAGATAAATATTCATTCGGAGATAATTTTTATATTTCTGCTTAACTCTTGTTATAGAACATTGTTACAGAATTGTAATGAAATTAATAATGAGTAATAAATCATATTAATTTTATAACAATATATAAATTCATAAATATATATTTATAATAATATATAAATCTCATCTTGTCGCATTAAATATAATTATATATATATAATAATTATACACAGAGCATAATCTTCAAAATCGCAAAATTAAATGCGTATTTACCAAATTAAGGCGACCACAGTTATATTCACTCTATGAGTCATACGATTTATTTGACATTGTCGACATATTACGTCTTCAGTTATTTACTATTTGTATGCATAAATGCATACTAACTTTACACACATTAACGCAAAGCTATCAGCAGAGTCATCAATGGTTGATTAAAAGCACACCATAATAAACAACGGTCGCGATATATTGTGGATTCATTCCATATCTGGCGATTGAATCGAATTTAAATATCGAGGATATGTCGTTGGTTATATGTTGCATTATTGATTACATTTGTTCCCAAATGATTATCTCTGTGATACATTGTTAACCATTATGCCAAATTTGTCAAGCTCGACAGGGTCGAATTTATTAACCAAGAATATTAACTCGAACGATGAATCACAAAGCTCAAATCGCGTTAGATCAAATTAAATTGCTTTTTTGCTATTATCTAATAAACAAAATATAATTTAAATTTTAATAATAAATGTTTTGATACTAACAAAAACATCTACAGAAAATATTAATTTCTTCATATTTAAATTTTTTATATAGATATTAAATTTTCTTCATAAACAAATCAACGTGAATATTATTACATTTAACAGGAGTTGCATCATCGGTCAAAGATTCATATAGACGTACCGTGCATTTTTCATCGGTTTAATCGGTCGATGCGCTTTTCAACGAGACGTAACGTATGATTGCCGGTCAAATAGATCTATGTGCATTGCGATTTCAAGAGTTTCGAGAGGCGTTCGAATACCGAAGGCACTCGAGTGGTGTTCCGCGAGAACTTCCGGCTATCGGCAATATTCCACAAAATATTCCACAACGGTTGAACAACGGTGCACGTGCTCGATTAGATTAATATAGGCGCAATTTGTGGACGTGGAATAATGATAAAGCCAACAGTGCAGATAATCAAACAATTAACGAGAAAGCCCCACCGTCGGGACGACGCGACGCTTAGGAAGTCAATTATACCATCACAGGAATTATTCGTAGTCTCCTAATGAGCTCAAATTATGATCTCACCTTTCGAGCAAACAATAATTCAAGCAAAAGATTAATTCAGGCAAAATAAAAATAAGTGCTCTTTCCTTTATTTTTGATTATGTTTGAGTTATGTTTTCGGTGGAGAACGGATTTTTTTAATTACAATTAAAGAAGATTATTTTATTGTAAACGTATTAAAAGTTATATCTCTTTGATTCCCAAATTTATCATATTTGATTTTAACATCAAGTTCCTTGAACTCAATGTCAATTTTCTTTGCGGAAAACTTTTCAGATATAACAACTTTTGGTATGTTGCTCTCTGTGAATGTCGCAATTACAAATTTATTACAGAGTAATTCCGTGAAGCAAATATAGAGATGGTAGGAATGATGTATGCAGACCTAGTATTTGCATTTAATTAAATGATGTCGTCGTGAAAGAAATGTACGGAATATATGAAGATTTCGTACTTTTCGGCACATTCATTGAAAATATTCATATATATGAATTAAAATATAAAGAGAATATTAACTTTAAGGTAGTGTAATATTTCTCAATTACATTCGCAGTTATTCTGGAGTGCAATTGAAATCCCGGAGTAGGAACCCCGGCTTAAAAGTCAGGCAGTATATTAAGGACATCCTCAGCTCATCTCAATCTCGTAGTCCTTGTATCCTATCTCAAGCTGTTAAATACTTGGTATTTTGCCCGCTTTGCACTTTATTTAATTTGTGTGAAAATGTCGGTTCGTTCTACGATGAAATTCTCTTCTTTCGACGACAAAGACATAATATAATCTTTTTAACTTTTGACATAAACATTAACTCGATACTCTAGAATACACAGAAAAAAATTAGCCTTAAATAAAAATTACGTTATTCTTATATATAATAAAGAAGGGAATATTATAATCTTCTTAGAAACATTTTATTATTGATGCAAATATAGATATTCTTATACGCAAGCAAGAATATTATAATCTTCATATAGAAGATTTTTACATACATATTAGAGAGATATGAGATTTTAGATATAGAAGATTCTTAAATTGAGCAAACGTAATACTTGCATCAATACAAATTTAATCAAATCAAAACTAAAATTTTTAAGAATTTTTAATTATAATATTCTTGCATGTATGAGAAAATATTTCTCTTGATTTGAAGAATCTAATTTCTTTTTCTGCGCGAATTCTCTTGAATCGTTATCGTGATGTTATCGAGATTAAATAGTTATTTCATGAATACGGATAAAAAGCTCTAAAATAATTAAAATATCTTCAGTGGAAAGATATATCGTATCCAGAATAATAAGAGAATGTATTCCTTTTTTCAGAAGTTACATAAAATAAAAAAAATATGATAAAGATACACTTCTATATGGTGTTACATACATGATATAAACGCACATATATTCGTGAAGTTCAGTTTATCAGAAGAGAAGAACGTATTGCATTGTAGTTCGCTTTTGCGGTTCGCCGATTCGCGATATATGGGAAATAGTCAGCTGTGTCAGTTGATGCAGGAGTAACAAGAGGATATTGTGATATTGAGAAACATTGACAATGAAAGTTATGAAAAATAGATTTTTCAACAAAGAGAAATGTAATTTCCATAACCTGGAAATAAAAGTTCTATTATTTTTTCGTATAAAACTAAATTCAGACTTGAAAATTAAATTTCCATTGATTTGCCAAATTAAAAAGGTTTGACAAATTCACAGTTTTATTAAAAAAGGTACTTCATACTGTTCAAAAAAGCATTCATTTAAAAAAAAAAGCATTCATTTAAAAAAAAAACATAATAATAAGAAGCTATTTAGAAGTTAACGCAAGGTCTAAATCGCGGTATTTAATAAATACGGTATTTAATAAATATTTAATTTTAATTAATAATAATTATGAAGAATTATGTGAAAAAACACTTTGCACATTAATACGTAGTAAATATAAATACGTCGTACGTGACAAAATAAAAATTTCCCTCGGATGACTACAAATACCTTATATTCTTGTCTCATAAAAGTTGTTAATTTCATGTCAGCACGATAGACTGGATATTCTATTTAAGACAAAGAATAAGGTTACTCATTTGCGTTATATGTAGCATGAAGCAATCCTGAGCTTTCATATTCTTGCCGCGGTACATCAGTAATCTTCTCCGCACAAGTATTGACGTCGCGTCACACGATGCGAAATGAGATTTCGCGAGTCTAATGAGGTTTAAGTCAATCCCGCTTAAGACATGACAAAGATATTTTACAAACTTCCGCCTCTTGCATGCGATACCGACGTTACATGTCAACATGTTATAGGTAGAAGGAGCTGCCGAAGGTGCGGAAATCCCTGCGGAATTCTTAAATTTACATTAGTCGGTCTTCAAGATCAACGGTTTAATTGCGGACTTCACTTATCAAATCCCTGGTAAAACGCTAGCCTTATTTTCACCAAAGTTTCTTTGATTACTGAACTTTTTACTTGCTCTTGCGCGCAATTTGCATGAGGGAACATTCCGCAATAATATCGTTCTCGTAAGCGGATTTAGTCTTTCAAAATACGCGTTGCAAACGGAAAGTTTCCAATTATTAACGTATCAATTTGTACGGAGGGATGGGAGGGGGGAGGGGGGAAGAAAGGAATACCAGGAAAATTTTCACAATGGTATCATAAATGTTGGGAAAGATCGCGCGATGAGTTTAGGATACCCGTGGGATCATTTCAACCCTCCATGCCGCTTAGTACAAATACCCTGGGTGGCCTATTTCGAATCACGTGTCACGCGACGAAAGCCCAGAAGTGTGGCCCGTTCGCGGCTTCGCGAATCCATCGCGTTGCAAATCCGTCGAATAAGTGGATCTTTATTTGCGATTTCACGATTTCACGCTTGGCGGCTCGTGCCACCGTTGCCCGTACTCCGCCCGATCGATCGATATCGTCGCTGCAAAATGGATCCATGACACATGACCAAGCTTTACAGTGTCCAACAAGTTGTTTCTCTCGCCGTCTGCCGCGTTCGCCATTGAAACGCCACGCTGCTTTTTCAATTGTAATATGCAAGCGTATAGCGCTGGTAAATCGATACTGTTGTAGCCGCCCCATGGATACTCTGAGTGACATTTTAAAAGATTTTTCAGAAAATTTTATAACTGGTTTAATAAATGTTTAATAGAGCTAGGATATGTAAATGGGTCATATATCATGCTCTACATAGCAAATAAAAAGGCTGTAAATTTAACCGGTATTAAGTTAAAAATGA